AAAAAAAAAAAAAAAAAAAAAAAAAAAAAAAAAAAAAAAAAAAAAAAAAAAAAAAAAAGATGATGGAAGCCGAGGCTGCGGCAGGGACTACCTGAGTGATAGCGTTTTTCGGAGTGAGTGACGCGTCGCTGAGTGCGCCGGGCGCGGGGCTGGGGGCGCCCACCGCCACCGCTGCCGCTCCCACTGCCGAAACTCGTCCTTTCGAGGCCGCCGCTGCTTCCGTTACCACTGCCGCCTTTGCGTGCGTTCAAGAAAAGACAGATTTTTGTTTGTTTTCTTTTTTTATGTTAGGTGTGTTTTTTGGGTACTCTGGATTTCTTGGGGTTCTCTGATTAATGCTAACTATGCGAATAGTTGGTGATGTTGCAACTGCTTGGGTACACGGTAAAACCATCGTGATTAATATCATCACGACTCTGGTTTCTGACACTCTTTGAGACATCGAAGGTTCGAATAACATATTCATGGTTTTGGTTCGTGTGTGCATGCGAATGTGTGTTTTAATAAAAAAGAAAAGTGGGCCCTAAGCTTCGATGTACGGATGCGTGCATGGGCTACAATTTCATCGATATAAATGTCTCTCCCTCTCGATTGATTGATTTATAGACAGCGATTTTTAGATTTATATCTTTTGAATGGCTGCCTCTCGACGAAAAAAAAAAAAAATCATATGTAAGTGCTGTATTTTTTCTTTCGTCTGATGACTTTGTTACGTAACAAGAGGTGCAAGTAAATGCTTATGGCTTCTTTTACGATGACTTTCTAACTGCTTTCGTTGTTTCGGATAATCGTCGCGTGTACGGTCCAAGACGAAAAACCATTATTTTTTTCTTTCAGGACAAAGTATGATATTTTTTACACTTTTTTTACTGAGCTGCGGTGAATTTGTGGTTCATTTTCACGTAGTAATACACTGTTGAATTTGCTAATAAACTGCACAAGGCACTTTATTTTTACCGATGCAATAACAGTAAAACTACTTTTTTAGTGCATGTAAAAATTATTTATCGTCGAAATCAGCATCAATAATTTGAAGTCCCATAATATCGTAACTGCAATGGCTATCTAAAGTTTTCGTAAGGTTTTATTAAACTTGACGATCAAATCTTCAACCGATCAGTTCTGGATGTAATCAAATGGAATCAATATTTGATTGCAACAAACGAGTTACTTGTCCAATAATAATTTATATTTTTACAAATGGAATTTTCATTGTAATATAAGCAAATTATGGTATTCGTAAAAACAAAATATCGTTGTACAGTATGCACCTGTAGAGTATACATACAAAACAAAATGCAAGTGCAGCCGAGCATCCGCATCAATTCGTACGAGTAAGTAATCTCAAGAAAATCACTTTCTCCACACGACTACTCGAACACACTTTTCGAAAAATCCCCCATCGCAGAGAGACCAGGCAAAACTGCAGATAGCGATCGGTAAGGATCCAAAGCGCCAGAAGAAAAGGTTTCCGCGTCCCACAGTTCCCAAGTTTCGCGCCCACCAATCCGCTGTCAAAGCCCAATCTCAACTTTGTATCTTCTTCTTCTTCGACGTTAGGTGGATTTCAAAAGGCTCTGCAGGTGGTTGGTGTTGTCACTTTTTTTCTTTTTCATCCCCTCTTATTTTCCATTTGCTGCTATGCAAAATACCTTGATCGGAACAAACCCACACTCGACAGACACACCAAATGCACGACAAGGATACCGAGAAGAAGAGATACTCGTAACGCCACTTTTTGCGAGTCTTCTCTACACGTATATATACACGTCGGTTGTTGGGAAACGCGAAAACCATCACTAAATGCTTGGCTGTGCAGCTCGGAAAATTATTTTCCCTTCCCCCGGCAATTCTCTCGTTATCATCTCTCCCTCGTTCATCGGCACCAATTAATTAAACGAACAAAAAAGTACGGGGGGAGGCAGGTAAGCACAGTACACAGCGTCGTTACGTGCACGTGATGATAAAGCGCGCGGTTAATTTTAATTGGATACACACACTCTCGGTGTAATTATAAATTGAATAACACGGATGGGAATTTGAATACAAATGGATCAGCGAATTGGATCTCTCTCTCTCTCTTTGCTGGGGTCACGTTGTAAATTTCCTCTGTATGGATTGATTTCGTTTGGTTGGTCGAAGCTACGGAATGTATACGTTTGCAAACTCCAGTCTACATCCCATAAATGCGTACCCCAATCTAGCGCGCGTCAAAATTCTTTCATTGCCAATTATTTTGCACCGATACATCAATAACCAATTTTGACAAGTCGAACGCGACTGTGTACAAAACATTGTTACCTTTCAATACGGGCTAAAGTGAAGTTTTTACACGTAATTTTCTCTCAATCACCAAACCAAGTGTAATTTTGTTTGATCAGCATTGTAACGCGACCGCGAGCAGCATTTAGATACTTTTCAAGCTTACAGGTATACACCACCTTGTATTGCTGCACACGTTTGTGCGATGAGCCATAAGCGTACACGGATACTCAATAGAGAGGGAAATTCGCATCAGGAAATAAAATGAGGAAACAATGAAAAAAAAAACGTGCACGCGCTTCCGCATACGCACGTATACGGAACAATCCCATCCGAGTCATTCCTGCGTAATGGCACCCAACAACCACCTTCATCGGCAGGCACATGCACACGCCATGGCTGTTGGTCGAATTAAACTTCCCGATATTATACCGCGCGCATAGCTGCATGACAATCATAATCATCATCAAAAAGGAACCCGCTGCACACATCATAAAAGGGGGATATCGTCAATTAAACGACCAAAAAAAAAAAAAAAAAGCTTGGGTATACACTCGTTGTATATACAATGCACCGACGAAAACACTTTCTTCCCCACCTTCCCTCCCTACGAGGTTTCAGTCGAGGAAAACAACACCGCGTGTGCCCCGTTCCCTAAACAACGACCCGCTCGAGAGTACAGCATCATCATCCCAGCGTCAATTAACCCCCCCGAGAGAAAAAACCTATAATCAATACATGGCCCGCCCGAGTGGCGCGGTACCTCCCCCTCCGCTCGGCAGTCTCTCCCGCAATCTTTTCCGATGAATCTCCCCCTGTGTGTGTGTGTACCGATTACCTCCTCTGCAACTCGTATACTCGCGAGGACTGGAAAACCCAAGAGAGAGGGAACACACACACACACAAGAGGCGACTTCCGAAAGTCCATTGGCGAGACACACCGCATCTACGAGCGCATCTATATACATAAATGCCCGAGTTATATAGGGAGGGGGGGGGATAGGTACAGCTACACGGAGAGAGAGAGAGAGAGCCACCTAATATATAGGTCCTCGTTTTTCCCAGCATCGGTGCATCGGTATGAAACGTGTGCAGTGAAAGGCGGGCTCTCCTTCTCCGCCTAAAATCCACATTAATCTCGGGCCCGAGTAATGCGATTCGTCGTCTCCCTCTATCTGTTGTTTTTTTTTGTTTTTCCCTCTTCATCTTTATTTTACAACAGCGCGTGTATGGATAGGCGAGAGTTTTCCTGGGAAGAAGTTCGCACGCGGAAAATCCAAGCAGCGCGTGCGCTCGTCGATACGAGGGCCTCGGGGAGAGAGGCGAGGCTACACCATACACCGGAGGAGGAGAGCATCGCGCCTCGGGATCTCTCTCTCTCTCTCGTTGGCTTATGTAAAGTGCCACCGGATCGTGTATGTATATACATATATGCCGTGTGGAGAGAGAGAGAGAGAGGCTCTTCCGCGTGTCTATGAGGTGCAGTTACTCGCCGGAGGGTGTATAATATGTAAGTATCGGTGATGCCCGTGGAAAGAGAGCTAGGATAGGGGGGGGGGGATCCTGCCGCGGTGCGTTTCAGCGGTGAGGAATGCCGTCCTCTTCCTCCTCCTTCTCTGGTACGTGTGGATGTATGAATGTTCTGTAATACGCGTGGCGTGGCTGGGGTAGGTAACTATATGTTTACGGGGCTCCGAGGGTGGCAACTTGCGCGTCAACCCTCAAGGGATTTTTCTTTTTTTCTTTTGTTTTTTCGTGGGAAAGAAGAAATAGCACGCAATTGCGGGTAATGTCGCTACGCCAATCGATAAATCCTTGGACTGGCCGATGAAAATTTTACCTCGTGGTCGGATGATGTTAGAGGAAAGCTTTCGATGTATTTATGGATCGTGGGGGTGAGATTTTGATTGCGTCCGGCCCAATGGGGATTTTTTTTTTCGCGGTCTATCGTTAAACGTTTGGCTTTTATGGTGCTGAGGATATTTCGTAACCTTTCGTGTACCTTGGACTTGAATGCAAATTTGGAGATGTGCACGGTTCCTTTTGTTAAATTGTAAGTGGTAAAATTGTGACTTTAAGATATAAAGAAACTCAAAATTGACCAATACATTCACGTTGGTACAATTTTTCAACTGAAACTTTAGGATGATTTAGTACACAAAATACTGTGGTATATCTTTAATATTTTGACATCTCAAAGTTGAACCCTGTGTCTCCTATATCTGTCGAATTATTCCTGGATTCCACAAAATAATAATGAGTCAGAAATTTGTGTAATTTGAAGAAATATGACCTATACGTATTGCATGGATATACTTTCTATTTGATTTATTTTCTAAAAAAAAAAAAGTAGTTGGTTCAGTATACGATACGCACATTTTTCAAATAGGGATAAATAATTATGTAATTCGATTAAATTAATTTAGAATTACTCTGGAATTACTTGAAAACTTCTTAATATATTCCAACTGAATGTCACATTTGAAAAAGAGAGTGCACAGATTCATCAGATCAACCAATTCATTTTTAGAGATACGTACAGGTATACGAGGAGAAGAAACATGTTCTCAGTTAAAGTTTTGAAAAGTGAACCGATCGAGCGATTGGGTATAACAAGAATACCACGGACTTTATTTTTTACGAGATCAAGCTTAGCAGTAACAAGAATGGGATTACGAGTTATCCAGAAGACACGAATATTTTTGAATAAATTTTAATATTGAAGCCTAGTCCAAATTAATCGATTCGAAAAGCTATATTACGACTTTTTCGGGCGCACAAGTTTCATCATCGCGCACTGCATTGGGGCACGCACGAGCTCTCATCCGCTCAACCGATACATAAGCTGATTATACTTTGTACCAGTATAATAACAGCTGGTTCCACGCCAATCCAATAGCGATGTTACAAGTAGTCGGAAAAGTTCAAGGCAACGCAATTATAATAATAACAATAGACACACCGAGTTTCACGCTGGTATGCGACATTATCGATTTGGGAGAACAATGGCCAACGAAACATCATCTCTCCTTCGAACTGAGACTCTGATTTTTTTAAGGATCGTTTTTTTTTGTTTTTTTTACAGCACCTCCTCTACTCGCCTCACTCGGGGATACGATGCACCGTCACTGGATCGCTCGAAGGAATTTAAACTGGGGGGGCACAGCCCACACTCGTTCATATACATATATATATTGGAACTCGAGCACGCTCGGCATTGTTACACTTTCGATACTCGAGACCTCAATTTTAATCCTCCTGGTGCTTCTAATTGTGTTGTCTATCGAGTGTATTGACTCTGATCGAAGTTTCATACATTAAAGAGTTACGTGACTCAATTATCAAAAAAAAAAAAAAAAAAAAAAAAAAAAAAAGTTAACGTGATTAACAAGCATTGTCCAGTCGATGTGTGACAAATAAGCTATTGCCTCTTTATCGCGTGTTTGAAACAAATTAATCCACACAATTGTCCGTTTTGCCAACACAAGATTACTATGTCGTCTCTCGCGAAAACATCGTGTCGACGTTTTTCCGTATAGCCACAGCTTCCATGAGTGAGCTTCCCCTTCTTGTTGACCCGTTGCAATCTCGCAAGCCCGTCGGCGCTTAATGAAACATTATGCATTCCCAGCACACAGTTACGCGCGTAATAACCCACTCAATATAAATAACGCCTCGACAATCCGATCTGCACACAATACGTGTGCGCAAAAGACAGCCCCGGACTTTCGGTTCACACGTCTATGCTCTGTGTAGTGTCTGTAGGTGAAGAAGAAAAAAAAAAAAAAAAAAATCACGTACATACATGTAGGCGTGAGCGCGATATTCGAGTGAAATTGCGATAATTTTCTTTTTTCTCCCTCTCTCTCTTCGTTTCCCGTTACCGAGTTCGTTTGGCTGATATGCCTCTCCTCGTCGTAATATGTGTATACACACGAGGAGTCGGCTTTCACGCCGCTATCAATGGGAAATCGCGTTCGGCGTTGCGCAACTCGCAGCCCCGCCGACTTTTGTATACATGTATATATATACATATATACACTTACGCGATGGGAGAAGATGATGATGATGCCTAATATGTGTGCACGAATGTTGTGAGTGTAGTGTGCACCTGTGGATCATCCGTACGTGAAACGTGTAAGACGCGATGCGTGTGCGTGATTGTAGGAGAGGAAGAAAAAACGCGGTTAATTGTACACCATCGATTTTGCAAGCGATGGGGATGAGATATACATGGGTATACGTGGATTGTTGTTGGTGCCGCTGCAGCGACAGCAAAGGACTGGGAGTACGCGAAATACGTATCTATGATGTGAGTGTTGGCGTTGGGCAGGTGATTTTTATGTTTTTATTGTTCTCTATTTTTTTTGAAACTATAATTGTACCCAAATCCGTGATTAAGGAGGTGCAATGTTTTTCTCAAAATGCAGAGAAAAATTTTCAATGCAAAACGCTCAAGGACAGCAATGAACCGAGGCTCGTTTTTCAATTAATGTGAAGTTTGAATAATTAATGCAAGTCATCACCTAACAGCCTTCCCTTCTCAAAACTATCGCTGTCCTTAGTGGATACATATGAGAAGGTAATCTGAGTTGAGGTAAAAAGTTGACCATGGTAAATAAAGTACTTAAAAAAGTTAAAAAAAAAAAAAATGTTTACACTTTTTACTGATCCTTTCTTAAAATTATTCCAACCTTATTTGTAAGAATCTATTGCAAACAATCCTAAATATATATGTAAGTTTTATATTAATAGACATATTATAACANAAAAAAAAAAAAAAAAAAACATTTGGTTAAAAACATAATCCACGCAAGCAACCTAACTAGTTGTCGTCCAAAGATTCACTGCTTTCTCTGCATATATTGAGAAAATCATTGAACCTCCTGGTAAGATATCGTATACAGGTCAGGTCGACCGGAAGGAAAAAAAACCTTCGAAAAGCTATTGATACTCGTACCCCTAGTCGAACAATCAAAAGCCTTCCCTTGTACAATAACTTTGATGTGGACAGCGAGAGGAGGAGGAAAGGGACGAGCAACGGTATACCAAAGTCATCCAATTTCGTAAAAGAAGCTCCGAGAGGACATAATAAACGACAGCTTGCGTCGTCCTACCTGTTCGATTTGTGGAAATTGTACAACTGTGATGTGTGGAACTCGTTCGCCGTACGGGTTTTCGTACGCGTATACGCGAGTTAACGAGCCCCACATGGCGCACTCGCTTTAGCATACGAGTGTATTATATGCACGTGCCTTTCGTACGGATGGCCTTTGGGCTTGTCGTGATTTTCCATGGGAACAGAGAAAGAGAAGTTAGGTCTTCTTTAACGCCGTGATGGAGGAAAAACAAGATAATGATGATGACTTCTGTACATACGAGGGATCCTTTTTTTTTTTCCTGAATATCATCTCGTATAAAATAGGATATCTACGACGAGAAATTTGTAGTCTTTGTTTTCACCATCCAAACTGTTAATGAATGAATGTTTCACTCATTGAACAAACGCATACCTATGCGTAGGTGTTTTAAAACTCTAACTTGCAAACTAAGTAACTATAGGAGCAAACGTTAATTAAAAGGTGGGTGTAAAAATGAAGAAAAATAAGAAGCGCGAGAGTAGCATAACGAAGCGGACACGGCGCGGAGCAGCTATACGAACAGCTATAAAGAGGAAGAAGAGGCTGATGATGCTGGTGTACGGTAATCAGGAACAGTTAACCCTCATCCTCCTCCGTCTACTTTTTCCTCCTTTATCAGCTCGATTCATGAAAAAAATCGAAGCACACACGGGGACGCCGGTTGTTTGATTGAGCGCACCAGCTTCGTTAAACCTTCAGCCATGCTATACACACGCAAGTGACTTACGAGGGTACAGAGCTTTATCTCGACGCGTGTACGGCTGCGTTTATAACGTGCCTATACGTACATATATCTCCAAATGAGGAGAATTACGGGTGTCCGCTGCAAAGTATATTTATTTGTATGAGGAACCGTCGTCGTTGAATAACTTTTTTTTTTTTTTTCATACTCAAGACTCCGCAACCATTCGTCCCTCTAAAAACATGGCCCCGATAAAACGTGCACGCAGAGCGAAAAAATCAAGTCTCCCGCGTAAAGACGAAGCCCGAAACCCAAAAGTAGTTTCCCCCCTCGAAGGACTTTTTCGAGAGTCGCTCGTCGATACGCGCATCAGCAGCCGAGTGCTAGTTGTACAGTGTACACGCGACCCAGAGGCTGTTAAAGTCACGGGAGAGATAAGACTCGCGGAGCGCTCTCGATGATGGCTGTTTTATCGCGACTCATTGCCCCTATGGTGTGTGTATATACCATTTCCACGCGTCGTCACTGGCATGTATGTAGGTTGTTGCAAAAAAAAAAAAAAAGGTGACGAGGAGACGGCAGATGGTTCCTTGGGAGGTTTTGTGCATACGCGCGCGCAAGCCGTTATTACGATGCTGTGTTCTGGTCAGTGGTGGGATTATTTTTGCTCTGCAGTGGCAGGGAAGGGGGTACAAGGAACGAGGTCGAACTGAGAGTTTTTTCAGTGGTGGATACACGTATGATGTGTTTGTTTGCACGGTTATTGGGTATATACAAAAACGTAGGATTTATTCCGTCATTTATTTATACGAGTTATCTATCAGTGAGTGTGTGTTGTGCTTACGCTATGAATTTTTGTTTTATTTAGTGGCACCAATGAGTGAGATGTAAGAGTTTGTATCAATTTTTTGGATTCGGAAAATCTGCATTTTTTTTTTTTTGACAATTTGGATCGTTTGTTTATTTGGTGTTTCCATTGTAGAAAGGAATTACATCCGTCACTTAGGTTTCATCAAAATAAATACAAGAACTGAGAAAGGATAGTACGTTCTTGTGGGCTGGATGGTGTCACAAAAATATGTGATCACTGGAGAAAAATCAATATTTTTTCTTCATGCATGAAAACTAAGGGAACACAGTAACTCCTAGATCGATAAGGAAATTGCAATAAAAAAATTAAAATTTCGTGTAATAAGTTACGGAGTTACATGATAGTGTACATAAATATACAGTACACGTGACTATACCACTGTTGTGATAATACAAGCGTGCTATTTTTTTTCTATTTTCAAGTTTGTGCAATAGTCTACATTGGGTTAAGTACAGCTGTGGATTTCAAATTCTTTTCTTATAAAATTATTTTGGTGCGCTGAGTGACGGTGCAATAACACGGTATAATTAGTGTAATTGAGTACAATTTTTTTTTTTTTTTTTTTTTTTATTACGTCACAGTGCACGATTGCACACGAAATTTCCATGCTGCAGGTGAGGGACACAAGTTTTTGTTAAATTGATGACAAAAAAAAAGACACTATACGTTTCACTTTTTTTTTTCTTGATTATTGTGCACTAAAAATGCCATTGATTAAAAATATATTCAAAAACCCTCTCGTACCCAAGATGCACATACGCACACACAGTATACCAAGCGTGTAATTTTAACCACTCATTTTTCCACCAAATTGAAATCAGGTAAAATTTCCCCGTTTTTTTTTCACACGCACGCAAGTAATACAAATGATATCACACGCGCAAGAAAGTGTGATTGCGTAAAAAAGCGCAGCGTGTCTTGCGCTAGTACTGCTTATACATGCACGCGCGCGCTCAATCCTATATCGTGAGAATCCGCGACGTTCGCGTACCCCTGCTGTTATTAAATTACTCATTTCTTTTTTTAGTCTCCTCGCAATCACGTACACAAGGTAATTTCAGTTGTTACGCAGCGGTAATAAAAAAAAAAGAATATATTTCTTGTACGCGCGGCTCTTTACTTGACCCTTTTATCCGCGCGTATTAGGTGTACAATATATTACACTCTCGTCGCGCACGCGCTCAATTTATGCGCATATCGAGCGTGACTTGGTCCCATTTTAGCTTCGATTTAGAAAAACTTTGCTCCTGTGTTTTTTCGTTTGTTGTTTATTCTATATATACTTGCCTCATTCCCGTAAGTTAAGTATTAAAAACTACCATATTTCTTCCTGACTCATCATCTTCCAAAATAATAACCTATACAAGATACAGAGCTACAGGTGCGACAAGCGAATGAAAAAAAGAAAAAAAGAAAATGAAATCCTCGACGAAAAGCAGCTATTTTTACCTCGATTTTTACGACTAGACGAAACACCCAAACACACCACTCGCAAAAAAGAGAATAGAAGAAACACGTAATCCTCGCTCTGAACATTAGCTCCTGCACACGTCTTAACACTCTCTCCGAAGAAAAAAAAAAAAAAAAAAAAAACAACAACAAACGCGCAATGTCACTTGATATTGCAAACGCACAAAGAAGAGAACAAAATCGCAAAAACCCAACTATATAAGTACATAGTTATGTACACCACTCGCGCGTCCTTACGCTCGAACGAGCCGGCTGTTCGGAGATGAAAGACGCGCGCGTCAAGTCCCATTGTCTCCGACGAGATTTCCTCCACGAGCTCGTCTCTTCCCACGCGAATCGGAACGCCCGTACGTACAAAATATCGGACCCGCGTGAGTATACCCATTACATTGTGTTACCTTGTGTATACAATTAGGTATATCAACTCGTCGAGACTATCTCAATCTACCCGAGCGCGTAACTCGTAAGCCACGCTATCTGGTAGGTATCATCCGAGTACCGCGGAAAGATTTACGCAACGCGACGCGCTCCTATTTCCTCACTTTTTTTTCCATTATCTTTTGCTCTTTTTTTTCACTCGGCAATGCATTTTTATATGTCTCAATGTAACCGACCGCGATACACGTGCACGAGATCTATTACAACACGTCGCATAATCCACGCGCTCGTTGCTGCATGATACTAGGCGTTGTCGTCACTAGAGGGGGAAAAAATGTAATTGCGGTCGAATGGAGAAAAAAAAAAAAAAAAAAAAAAAAAGAGTAGTATGGGGAAGCTTCCCGTGTACCTTTTGCGTTGGTCATACAGATGTTGCGCCGTCTCCGCGGCTGGGATGAACGTAATAGACGAAATAAAGGCACAAGGTATGCTAGCTCGTGGAAAAGTAATTTTTTTTTCTAGTTAACCAATATAAGTAAGCGTATTGATATTATTTTATGTGTATACACGAAATTTATTAACGTTATTAAAAAAAAAAAAATTCATCAATTGGCGGAATGTCCGAAATCATTTTCATCTTCCAAATTGTTTGTCTATACGATAATGTGCTTCAGGTTTCTTCCGATTGTCCGTGCTTGCATGTTGCAAGTAATTACGTGCCCAATACGATGCGAAAAAAGTTTTTCAACGATGCGGATGAGCATTATGTAAAATAGTTACATGTTCATTCGCTCAAATGCACACAGAAGCTTGCCTAATTATTGGCTCTTCCGTATATACTCAGGCTTTACGATTTTTATCAGCTAGTTTTTTTTTTTTTTTACTCCAATACGCCTGGAAAATTTTTTAAGACAAGCTTAATATGGACATTAGGCTCGAAGTAAACAATTAAACGAAATATTTCGGAGATTTTTTGCAGAAAAACGATTCTTTTTCGCGTTAATCTTTTTAAAAAATTATAGAGACAAAAAACAATGAAAAAATCGAGAGTGTTCACGACAAAAGCCATTCAACCGTGTACTGGGAATACCAAGTATAGAGTGTGTGCGAGCAGGCAGGCACATATAGACGAGCTCGTGACGGCGTCATCAGGAATCACTTGATATAGGTATATATATACACTCCAAACCAACCTAGCGTAGCGTAATAATAAGTGATGTACCACCACGTGTATGGGTATACGCAAGACGGTCCGGTCTGGTACTCTCGGTGCAGGTGACTTGTATGAACACGCGTGTAAAGCAACTTTTTGAGATCTCTTCTGTCGTATACGAGCAAACAATCTTGTTTGTTGGTTTTTTTTTATATATATGTCTATCATCCACAGCTAAGCACTTTCAATGTGTCGCGGCCTTTGAACAACGATGGCAAGGACGAAATGCGCACACAAACACCTTTTAATAGCGACGCGCGGTTATTGCGAAACGATGGCTCTGCTCATAAGCGCGAGTCGAGCGCGTTGTGCATAGGTATATACGTACATTACGCGCTAAAATGCGTGAATAATGAAGTTACAGCGAAGTACCTAGTTTCTTTTTTTCTTCTTGCATGCGCTTCAGGGTCGAGTCGACGAGCACCTCCTACTTTCGGAATGAATCGCGCTGTACCGATCGAAGGTGCGCATATGTACCGGTATAATTGATGGGTGATTTTATAAGTAGCCGAGGATCAATAGTAGATCAGAGATGTACTTTTTTTTTTTTTCTTTTAATTACCGCGAGCTATGCAGATTCCAAGAAAAATGCCGTTGTATGTAATATTATGCGAGGTGCTCGCGGAGATCGTGTGTGGTTTTAATAATTATCGACGCGTTGTTATTGGCGTTGCGACGAGATTTCGATGCAAGTGTGAAAGCGTGAATGTTATTGTAGGTACGAGTTTCAGAGATTGATATGGTTTCTTATTTCATGTTTTATGCGTATTTTTAATTAACGCGTTTACAAAGCGGTCGTGACTTCAATAAATAGAGAAGGCCGTTTTCCAACGTCAGGCATGCTTTTTTCTTTTTTCAATATCTCGCGTTTGATCGCTACTTTTGATTTTTTTTTTTTTTTTTTTTCAAGAAAAGTGTGTACATGCTTCTTTTACTAGGTTTTATGTTTCATCTATTACCTATACAGTGTAATGTGCACGCGTTTTGCACCTCTTAATCTCAATTGATGCTGATTTACGTTACTTTCGCTTTTTTCTAATTTCATCGTTAATAGAAAGTATCAAATACATTTTTAACGATAAACGTGAATACTCGGATGACTCGATAACATTGCATGTATAACAAAATATGTCCAAAACTAACTGGTACCTTAGTGATCGGTCTAAACCAATGGGTTTCGTTATAAAGCTTTAGTCGCGTGACAACGATTGGCTGATAAAAAAAGTTGGACGAGCCAGAATTTGGCGAGAAAAAACTATTGTATACCGTGTTTGACTTTTCAGAATCAAGCATCTGCAGGGATATCAGTAAATCGATGAAACCTTGAATATTACATGTATATAAAAAATGTAATCCAATATTAAATGAGTTCCTATTTTAATTCAACCATCGATAAAAATGTGAGATCCAATGATTGATGTGAACATAATTAATTTTAAAAAAACGTATAAGTTGATCTCACCTCGTGTTTTCTTCTTAACGATAAAAATGACGCGATGCAATCGATTCGCGCTATAAACAAGTCAAAGGACGTTAATTGTCCTTTCATCAAAGATTTTTTTGCGCTAACAGGTTCTGAGATCCCAGAGACCACGAACTCGCATTCCGAGACAATCGATCGCGCTGTACAACGTACACGCGTGAACCAAGTCGGTGCACTATATAAAATCCCCCAGCGCGTGATAAATTAAACCAACACCCTCTCTCTCGCCTACAGGAGGGCGAACGAAGTATCCAAATAGCTCTGCAAAGGGAGAGATAGCCCATCGAAATCGACGCCAAATGTGCGTACAACACCACCCCGCGTTAATTATGATACTTTTTTTTTTTTTTTTTTTTTATTTCCTCTCCTCCCTCTCCTCCTTGAGCAGAACTAGTTTTCCAGCGGCGCAATTAGCCGTCGGATAAGACCCGGGGCCTCGTAATACTCGGTCCATGTGCGCCGCGGTGGGCTAGCGCTCTTTCGTATCAGATTGGGAGCGAGAAAAACGTGGAGAGACGCGTTGGGTAGGTGTACTAGCCGTGAACCAGACCTATGATACCTAGAACGCGAGAAGACAAGGAGGAAAATGCAGAAAGAGAGAGCAGAGACTCTTGTTTTTTTTGTTTGTCCTTAGGGAGCACGTGTGTGTACACATATAGGTACCGACACCTCAGAGATAAAATGGTGTTTGTGTGTTGTGTGTGTGTACATAATGTAGACGTAGATACAGTGACAGCATATATAGAACAGTAGTAAAAGTAGTAGAGAGAGAGAGAGAGAGATGTATGTGTGTACGAAAAAGAGAGGAGGACGTTGTTTGTCCTCGACGACTTACCAAGCTGTTTGGACGCGTACTGCTGGAGCAGGCGCGTTCGCTTTTTCTCGTAGCCCTTTTGCGTGATGTCTCCTGGAAAACAAAGAAAAAATGTGGTTATGTACTTTTCGTCCATGTTATCGATCCAAGGGGACAAAGTTGGGGGAATGAGATTCGAAGGGGTTGGACTTAATCTGCCACACTATGGGAAATATTATCTGATTTTCCTGGCCAAGCTTCACTCGGCCTGGACTTGCAGGTAGGGAACGGGGGTGGATTTTTTTATTTTTTTTTATTTGCAAGTGGAACGGGTAAGTTTACTGTATTGTTGATTGTGTTTTTTGTTTCAGCTCATATAGAACTGGGGATCAAATTACTGGATTCCATGATATAATTTTACGTCAACACTCGTGCGAGTATTTGCGAAAAACTAGTCAATCCGACAAATGTGATTACATTAAATAAAATTTAAAGAGAAACTGCAGCACTTAACGGCACTCATTATCATCACCATACAAACTGACTTATTGTTGCAGTGATAAAGTCTTCTTAATCTACAGTTGTCGCAGTGGGACCATTAAGGTTCATACAAAGCAAAAACGGCCTAAATAACAATTCACTTACTAATACATATATATATTTTTTTTTTCACTTACTACAACATTTATATATTATAAAATAGAATGGTATTTATATAGGTATAAATATTCCTTTCAAATAAAAGTAGTATAAGATTCATTCTCGATCCATTTAAACTTATAAAATGGCATGGAATGTCATTTGAAAAGGTTCTTGTATGCAATATCGACATTTCTATTGCAAAGTATTTCAAAGAACATACACTGCTATCCAGACCTGCCTCATTTTAGTTCAAACAAAGAAACAGTAATGACAATTCCTGCAAGTGTGTACAAGAACAGTTGAAAAAAAAATTGTCAGCTCAAAAATTCATAGAGAATTTGATTATTTATAGTTTATAAACCATAAAAATCGACAAGTATGTGTGCACGTAACTCGCTCACTATACACTTGGTTAGAAACGTTTAGTATATATATACAGCACGAATCGGAAAATTAAACTAGAAGCGACTAAGAGAGAGAAACTATCCTATAGTACTACTGATCGAAAGTTTATTGACTGACGTGTACACTGCTTAGGTACGTAAATGTATATCTTCATGTACACACATGTCTTTTGAATAAGACTAAAAAAAAAAAAAAAAAAACCCAAGAGAGGATAGCCGTGAATTACTACGCAACAATGTCGTCGTCGATTACGCGTAATAAACTCGGACACTACGCCCCTATTTATAGACACGCAACGCGACGTAGAAAATCTCACCGTTAAAACCAAGAGCCATTACAAGGAGTCAGATATAAATCCAACACAGAGGGCTTTTGTTGCATTCTTGCGCTAAAACTCGATAAGTGCTCGATACAAAACGTGTGGCAATGACACGCTCGCTGTTGCTGCAATTACAGCTTTTGGCAGACAACCGGAGACACTCTTTGAGAAATCGATCGTTCATGCGTCTGCGTATATTTACGGTGGGGCCGAGTGGGTATCAATTGTGCGTCCTAACGCGTATTTATACCTTGTATATTATGTATTCTTTGGTGTGTCTGTAACACACGCATTATCCAAATTATAATAATTTAATCCGTTATTTGCACCCACTTTTTACTAAGCTTGTAACGCAGTACTTGAGAAAAAATTTACCACGTCATAAAAAAAAAAAAAAAAAGTATTTCAAAAGTGTTGAAAAAAACCTACGAAATACTTGTCTCCGAGTAATTTTTTGTACTTTTAATAAGAGTAATAGGCGTGTGTTATTTTAGCGGCGTACATGCCTGCTTACCAAATAATACCTGGAGTGTGACTTCTTCCGATTTCAATATTGTTTCTATATCGTTATGATTATCATGTTTAAAATGGGGGGGGGGAGTAATTTCATAGTTGGGCTGAACGGACGGACGGTGATTTTTGGGGCGTCGTCGTCATTGTTGCTAGTACGATTTTGAAGAGCGACTATACGTTGGACTTGATCGCTGTTGTTGCAACTCGTAGAAAGTAAGTAGGCATATATATACTCGATACGGGTAGAAAATGATAATTGGACGGCTGTGCGTGCACGAGGATCCTCCATACCGTGTTCGACTTTTGTTTGGAGCGCGCACTGTTGTTTCGTCCAGAAAATTGATTTGGAAAGTATATAGGCTGGAATGGGATGTACGTACGCGTGTGTAAGTGCACGAAACGTGTGATTATCGTCAAATGGGATTAGCGAAATTGTTGCGGTTCGCGGAATCTAGTGCCTACTTGAACGTCGTAGCCTAGTTTACGTTTACGAGATCAATTACAAAATTCAATACGACTTTTTTTTGCTTACACATTCGTACATTGATCAATAGGATTAAAGGTTTCTTCAGTTACTTGACTTGAACCATAAATTTTACTTCGTATGCGGCGGCATTATAATCATATATGTTAGGCAACTTTGTTGATCGTCTGTGTGTAACACGTACACCGTTTTATTGATTTACATGAATTTTCAAACACTTATAAGTAAACTTTTTTTGCGAAAATTTTATCATTTTTGTTTTTACTTCCAATACCGCATGGTTAAAAAAAAAATAAATGTAATGATAAAAACTTTTAAAAAAATTCCCAGACAAACGAGGTAATAAGCTTCAAGATGAAAAATGTCACCACAAATGATTTGAAAAAGTATTATTTTCTTCCAGCCTCATGACTTTTCAGTTCGTATTACGTTCCGAAAAATTCACGATCTAAGCTTGCGCAATTGCATTGTGCCCAAATCGCGTGCGAAAAAAAAAAACCCGCCAACGTCAGAAAAAAAAAAAAAAATAATATAGGTACTCCTTCAGAGTCTGGCGTATATTTTCGTTATTCGACACATAATACCCAGCGCTGTCCACAACGCGATATGCGATAGACGTCGTCGGGAAGGCATTAATACGCATTTCGCCGAGTCGCAGCTGTTGAACGCGCTCCATATACTTGTATACGTATACGCGTATATTTATGCGTTGTAATGCAACAGTTACGCTCAACGGCGATATCGTACGCACAAGAACGGCTTTAGCGAGCGGAGGACAGACTGGACGTTGATCTGGGCAGTTTTGCCTCATTAGCGAGCACATATAGCTTTTGATAAGCTGCCGCGTGATGCATGTGTGCAGTGCCTGATTACATCAGAGTAAGGGAGAGAGAGAGAGAGAGAGAGGCTGAATTGCATCGGTGCACGCATGAATGAAATATTGCAAAGGACGTTTTTTATCAAGATCTTTTACTCAAGTCTTTGTCAGGGTGTACAAGAGTATTTTAGAGGTATAGAACTTTGTAGTTTGTACGACCGAGTCGCTGATGAATAAGAAAAAAAAAAAAATTTTTCGTTGATTTTTGTATGGTTCATGGTCTGATATCTTGTCTCGGGTATCTGGTCACGTTAATAAAATAATGTTTTTGCGTGGAAAAAATTTTGTTTTGCTTTTGAGTAAAAAAATTAAACAAAAAAAAAAGTTCTAGGAAATTTTAAAAACCCCTAAAATTAAAACAGATGAGACATAGATGATTGTAGGGTGATAAAAAACATATGGCGACAATACGTTATTATAGTTAAAATCATCAGTTTTGCGTTTCTTGTGATTTACAAGAATTATTTTTTCAAAACTATAAGTTCTAAAAAAAAAAAAAACATTTTAGGAGGTGTTTTTTTTTGTTTTTAAGTAAAAAATGTTCTTCTGACAAGAACAATTTCCAAAAATGTCTAACCACATTTGTAACGTCAAAAACCAAAAAACAATTTTTCTCTAAATTTTTTAAAAATTTTCTTCATTAATAGTAGTTTTCCTACGAGTTTGAAAAGTCTCTGTTTGCGAACCGAGAGGTTTGCGGCCCGAGCCGAAGGCGAGGGACGTAACGAGGTTCGTAAAGGAGACTTTTCGAACGAGTTTCGGAAAACTGCTTTTTCGCCCGAGGAAGTACCAGCCTCCCAAAACCACCCAAGGGTGGAAAAATTTTTTTTTTTAAAATCAGACTTCAGATTCATGTTTTTTTTTTAAATAACAATCGAAAGTAAATAATTTCCCAACTCATACACCCGACTTTCAGTACAAATTTTTCCTCCAACGGAGAAAGTTTATCCGAAAGTTTACGAGCGAAAAATTTTTCGAAACGCACGTATGCGTACGTCCGTGTCCGCACATCCGAGCGTTGCGAAACGTACAATTTTTCAAACATAAGCATCCGGGTGTATGCACACATAACACCGAAAGAAGGTAAGAAATACTTTTGGTCGCCTCACCAGCGAGAAATCAGAGTTTGGACAAAAAAAAAAGAAAGTCCGAGCTCCTGCTACTAAACAGTAACTTCCTGCACTCAAATATACACCAGAAGCTTGCAACTATTCTCCGCACGTCTCCCATCACGAATTTGCGATCCAATGTCAAAGTGAGCGTCCAAAAATACACAGCCATGAGCGTCATCCACATATATATATGATAATACCAAAACACATAAATCCGGATTCAGATGTCCAGCCCGACATTACGTACACGCCAGCCATAAACGTGCAAAATTAAACTTGGAAAATCAATCCGGAAGTCGTTTCGTACTCTCCCATGCGTGTTTATCCTTTACGTCGTACAACCTGAGAACTAATACCCAGTGGTGCCGTGTAGCAACTCCATTAGCGCGAAACTGTAAACGCGCGAAAGAGGAGGACGAATGAGAGGGGAAGCCCCAAGATGCGTGCGCGTGTAGGGTCGATGCGGTGCTTGCCGTCAGCATCTGATGCGTATTTTCGCGCGCCTGCACTTTCCGTTTCATCGGAGCTGTCGAGGATCAAACTAACTGTGTGTAAACCCGAGCTGGGAGGATTTCTCAGGAAAGAGCGGAGAAATGAAATGAGGAAGAGCACCGGCGGAGTTGTTGACAATCTGAGGTGTGATAGGGCAGAGACAACAAAAATTACATCAAAATACATAGATTTATTAATTAACAAAAAAGTACAACATAATTTTTCTCTTATACGCGTGATTGATAAAGGTATGCGTGATTATCAATTAATTGTTTGAATCTGCATACGTCATTGGATATCCGAGCCTGTGTCCAATCATGCGGATATGCCATCAAAAATTATGTTCTACTTTTTTATTAATTAATAAAAACCTATTTTTATAATTTATTTTATACATTTTTCATTTTCAACTTTTCGGTTACAATTTCAATCCATTCGGTTGAAGTCAACAGTCCACGTTACATGTGACTCTTCTCACGTATTATAAGAGTTCATCGTCTGCAGAATTGAGTAGTCACAGACAAGTAAAGTCAGACAAGCCACCGAAAAATTAAAAAGACCTGACCTGATCTACTATACTTCGGAGCTGTCATTTTTAAATTGCAAGAATTACATGAAAAAAAAATACGTTTATACTACCTTACATTGTCATTTGTAATTCATGTTAAAAAAAAAAAGCCTCGTTGACTCATGGTTAGCATGTCTTTCGGTGACTGTGGTGAAAAATGTGACGATGCCAGTTTTAGTAAGACAAAAACTTTAATTATAATCCAATTACTTTTCAAATCAATTAAAGTAATGTATGAATCCGATTTAGTTTGGTACGACAATAAGTAAATAAAGTTATGGTATTATTTAAGTATTGGTAAAAATATTCAAATAAAAATCAAAAACTTGAAAAAAAACATAAACATAACATTATAAAAATATCTTCACCTAAACTAAAGTCTTGCTTGTTTAATGATAACAATACCTAAACTCGATGTAACAAGAATTACTGCGGTGTTAATTTATTGTTTATGATTGAATTTCGATCGTAATGACGAATCATCTCGTTATTTCACTTAAATCTTCATCCGAATTCACGATCGACAAAGAACTGAATGCCAAATTAAATACTTTCAACTCAACGATGAATCGAGAAAACTTTGTAAAAGATGCATGCACAACTGTCGTAACGCAAAAAAAAAAAAAAAAAAAAAAAGCCCATTAGAAGCGCGCACGCGTGTGGAAATAAGGAGCATGTGTAGTATGGAGGTTAATTTTGTATAGGAAATGAGGGAAGAAGAAAAAAAAAGGCAAACACCGTTAAGTACACGAGCTATCGGGCGAAACTTGCTCGGTTCGTTGCAAAAAAAAAAGGCGGCAACTCACGCGAATTACGCACACATATGCGTGTATGTATATATATATATATAAATTCTCTGGGTGTGTACACGCACGAGAGAGCCAAATAACCGAAAAGGATGAAGCTGAGGGAAGATGCAACGAGCAGAACGTATAGGCTGGCCGTCACGCGCGAAGGCCGCGCGGAAAAAGGGAAAATCTCGCGCGCCGATAAGAGAGCGTTATGTGGGGGAGGAAAATATGAAATTACACATTGAGCGCGTGCTCCGCCTCGCGGGAGGCGTTAGCACGCAAGTGAGTTTTGCATCGCTGAGCCTTCGATGTTGATGGGTATTATGTGCGCGCGCGTCGAGGTATACATTAATTTGGTAATTTGGGCACTGGTGCACACGGGAGTCTCTCTCTCTCACTCGCGCGAGCATCGGTTTCAAGAGAGAAAATGTGAGTGTACATGTGTGTGGGTAGCGCTCATAACAACGGCGACTGGAGTTGTTGCGCGTTTACGTGCGTGCGAGTGCTTACGAAAATTCGCGCGAGCTCGCGTACACGTAAGTACCTATTAAGTGTTACGTTCGACGCGACTGTTGCGAGGGATATATATACGTAAATGTAGATGGAGTTTTTATGCACACGATTTGTACAAAAGGGCAATTACGCGTTTATTTTTTTTCTTTTTTTTCGGTGATATTGAGTAGCACTATGCAGAAGAATCAATGAATGACTGTGACACATTCAATTCCACGCACATTTAATATAAATACAGGATATCGCGAATAACTTATTCCGACTGCCTACTTTGAGCCTCTCGTATCTATCTATCCGTCATTTGCATAAATATCTCTTTGTGCTGGTCCTTTGAAAACATTGATTCTTATGCTTATTATGTAAATAATACGTGACCTCGACAATACCGGTTAATGGGACAAAACAGAAAAATCATACATGTGAGTCAACAATTGAAGAGTATAAAAAAATATGATGGTTTGCAGTTGAAATAATCGTTTGATCAACAATTTCAGGAGCCTTTAGAAACCATCTAAAATAAAGGTAGGTAATTCCAACTATTTCCAATCGCTTGGATGATTCAAAGTTGGTGCAAATCCTAAATTAGAAATCCTTGGAATGACTTGGCAATTTACACCCGAACTTCATAAGACAATTGTTTTTCCTTTTACTTTCGCATCGCATGGATGGCCTTGCCATTTTCAGATGGTACACAATTTACAGAAAAAGAGACTGTGGTTGTACGTCTCGAATCAATGATTATTCACAATTGCGAGTCATTCGCTTCATCAACCCAACTGTTGGGTCGAACTCACGATTTCTCGTTACGACTGTACGCAACAAAAATCGTTTCTACAATGAGCAAACTCTGTCTACAAACTCGCTACAAATAGAAACGATAATGAAAAAACAAATAGGTAAGTCAAAAAACTCGTCTTACTGCAGGGTCTCCTCCTCAGCGAGGATCTTCTTCTGGCCAGGTACACGGGCTGTCTGGCAGCACCGCCCCCAGCGAGCCCCAGTCCAGCGTTACCACCTCTCCTAGCGAGCTGGGATTTTCTCCTGAGCGGCCTCCTCCTCTGCCCGGGTCCAACCTCCTGCTGCCTCGACCCAGCACCACTCGGCCTCTGGCCCTCCAGCACCAACACGACCGAGCAGTTTCGCCGTTCGGCGTTGCCAGTCCTACCAGCACCCACCACCGCGTCCTTGGCGTCCTTTGCCCCGACGACCAAAAGCACGCGACCCTGCCGCTGCTTCTCGGGCTCACTTTCACTACTCGTCGACGACGGAGCCAACGTACACTCGACGCACCGCGACACCGCGTTACCAGATCCACCGCCAGTAGCAGCAGTTCGCGCTGCGCTCTTGGCCACAAATCCCACAAATTGACTGCTCGCAAAGTAATTGCACTCGACCACCGTCTTGTTGCCGGAGGACTTCGCGGACTTACTGGCCGCGTCTCCCCGGTACTCCTCGTAGAATATTTTTTCCTCGTTGAAGTCGCTGATCTTCGGCTTGGGCAGCAGCGACGCGGAGTAGCTCGATATCAGGGACGACGAGTCGAGGCTCGAGGCGTTGTTGTTGTTGTTGTTGTTACTGCAACAATCTCCCCTGGTGAGGCCTTGTTTGGGACCCCGTTCTTCAAAATCCCCCGAGAGCAGGAGCTTCCTGTCGTCGAACTCGTCCGACAGGTTCGAGTCGTTGGACCAGTTGTTTTCGTTGCTGTTATGCCGAGCCTTGCTGTCGTTGCTGTCGGCATCCTCCAACCTTCCTTCGTCCTGGGGCAGGTACCTCACCTCCCGCCAGACCCTGCCTCTCTGTCGGCTCGACCTCCGCCTCTCTGGTGGCACGAACCACACAGGACTGTCCGGGACCACTGGATCGGGCCTCGCCACGATCTTCTTCCTCCTTCGCGACCCGTACACCGTTGGCCTCCTTCTGCCACTACCGGCCATCGCGTTTCTCTTAGACCTCCTCGCAAAGGCGCTTGGACCCTGGGCGGTGGTGGTTGCACCAGCTGTTCGTTCAAAATATCCCTCGGGACTGACGCTTGGGGAGGGCTTGGTCTGCTGGGTGGTTGGCCTCTTGCGTCTCCTGAACAGCTCATTTTTGGTGGACACGGCCGCGGCTCGGAGGTCCGTCGTCAGCCTCGAGATGGACAGGGACAGACTGAAGCCCGACCCGGTGGTCCTCGCGGTGTCAGTCCTGTTGTTACCGTTGACGGTAGGTTTGATCCCACCACTACTGGCCAACGACACTGGCCCACTGCTGACACCACTCACTCCGATGACACTTATGGCGGAACCACGATCGCTGCAGACACCCTGGCTGAGAAGGACGTTGCTCGACTTGTTCCAACTGCCGTTTCCCACGTTCACGGTTGTGACAGCGCCGCAGGTGCAGTCCTTGGACACTGGCGATGCTGGAGTCCAGACACTCTCGTCTCGCTCCTGGACCACTTTGACCTGTGACCTGGGCAAGAGCGGGGACTTTTCCAGCTCGATCAGGACCGAAGACACCGCTCGACGCTTGTTTTCTGCATCGTTTGCATCGTCTTCATTGTTGTTGTTGTTGTTGTTGTTTTTGTTGTTGTTATTATTGTTGTTGTTGTTATTGTTGCACTTGCGGACTGGTGGTACAGTGGGTTTATTGTCCGGACTCGTCGTTGTAATATATATCCTTTCCCGGGAGGACGAATCTACATTGTACCTCGAGTCCCGGGAAGAGTAGGAGTCACCAACACGGGACTCACGTTCTTTGGACGAGTTGTACGAGGAATCAGCGTCATTGAGCATCCACTGTCCGTAGACAATGGTCCCCGCAGTCTCGCGCTTTAGTTTCTTTTCATCCTCTTCTTCATAGTCGTTGTTCGGGTCGTCCTCGTTATTGCCACCTGTCTTGATTATCTCCACGTCATCACGATTGATCTTCCGGTCCTTCTTCTCGTCGATCTCAAATTCGTCCGAGTAGTGACCACTACCTCGCACTTGGATGACCGTGGGACCGATAATGACTCCACTGTTACTCTTCGCCAGTGGTTGCGACGACACGTGGACCGTGACCACAGTTGGCGCCGTCGATTTATCGACAATGTGGACGGAGGACTCGGCAGTTGTCGAAACCGTTGATGGTACCTCGCTCGACTTTTGGTGGAGTTGGTGTTGCCTGATACGTCTTTTGCCCCGGTCCAAGTAGCTCTTGCGGATGGATATGCGCTTGAAAGACTCACTGCGCTCGAACGACGGCTCGTCCCGGTCTTTTCGCCGGCCAACGAGCCTCCGCAGATTCTCGAATGACAGCGTCCTCATTCTCCCCTCCCTAGACGCCAATTGGTGTCAGAAGTGGAACTCGAATATCATTCACTCGCATCCACCAAAGCCTGGTGCACTGAAAACGATTGCTCCACCATCGTGATGTGACAGCGCGTTGTCGCGTTGGTTCGTTCTATCAGGGACACACACACACACACAAAAAAAAAAAATAGAGAGAGAGCATCGCCCACGCGAGGATTTCGCGACGGCGAGTGTTACGACACAGCGAGCGAGAGTGCACTGAGGCGCCGGGATGACCGCGGGCTTTTCGTTCGATCCGCGCGGGTGGCGTGGTCCCCCCTCTACTGTTCAGCTTTCCCTCGTCCGCTTCTCCTCCTCTTTTTCTCTTCCTTCTTCGGCTGCTCGCGCGTACGTGCATGCGGGTCGAACTGTTGCGAAAGGTAATGGCCCGGCGACGCGCTCATTCCCGTAACGAGCGGCTTTGCCGATTTATTTTCCACCGCCTCTCCCCTCCCCCGCGGTGTTATGACTCCACCGCGAGCGAGCGAGGAATGCAAGTGCGACTGGCGATCGATCGCTCGAGGAACGGGAGATGCTAATGTCACTCGCACACGACTGCTCGGATGGATCGTTGGAAGAGCTTGGGTCGGACAAGTTTCACTTTCTCCTCGTCTATCCGTCCGCGTGTGTGTGGCTCGGTTGTTCCATCAGTAGAATAAAAATTCCTTTGACGGCCCTTCTTATCTCCCGGGGAGGCGTAAGGCTTTTGAAATAAATAGAGAGATGATTTCAGCGGACGTGCAGATTACGTGTTTGCGCCTTTCTTATCTTTCAGCCGAGGCAGCGTGTCACGTTTCGCGATTTCGTCTCTTCGTCGACCAAAGACCAAACAACACCAACGTTTCATTACATCTAATTCCTCCCCTCGGCCGGCAATTTTCAATGATCCACACTGTCCGTAGCAATATTGCCAAGCCAACCCGATACTTTTCGCAATCGTGAGTGCATCCTTCCCCGCTTATCTCTCAAAGATCCAGCGCGGCGTTGTTTCCACTTCTCCTTCCTTCCTCCTCTCGAGTTTCTTTCATCATGAACGCGCCAAATTACCCGCTCCCTCCTCCGGTATATCTCGTATCGTTTGTCCAGAATCAAAAATGAGGGAGAGCAAGCTCACATCCTTGCGACTTTGAGGTATTCCACCACCAAGAACCTATACTTCGTTGTTGGAAAACAACGACCTCCCCCCCGCGTTTGTCTGTTATCGGTAAGGTACACGGTACCTCTGCACATCCTTTTGTTAATATCACTCGCGCTTATACTCCGAGGGAGAGAGGGAGAAGCCGCACACGAAACAACAATAACCACATAAACAGCACACGTTCGCACACACACACAGACACGAGGGACGATCTTGGAATCTTCCTTTCCACTTAAAATTCACCGAGTCACGAGCAGCGGCTGCATTATCCTCTCCTCGAGAGCTTGCACATGTATAGAACGGAGGGCTGGTCTGTTTTTTTTTTTTTTTTTTTTTTTTTTTTTTTTTTTTTTTGCCAAGAAGTGCACCGCTGATCCTCAGGAGAACATCACATATACACTCTCCTTCACTTTCCTCTCTCGGGCGCGCTTGTGGGTCCCTCCTTCGCCCAACTACTGTCGCCACTCACGCCCACACGTACTACGTGCGTACCTTCTTTATTTTCGTGCTTTGTTTGTCCTTCTTCTTATTTTCACTCTCTCTCGATGGGAAACGTCGCGTTTTCGATTTCACTCGCGCGACTCCCCACTAAAAGACACCCCACCCGCACGCACGGAGAGAACTCGAGCTCGGTTGTTCCGATAGCAAAACGGTACAACATAACGATGGCGAACTGTCTCCTGCGGCTAATGAAGCCGGTCGTACTTTTATCGCCGGTTAGCTTCCTCCTCCCTTTCGCTGATTACAGGAACATCACGTACATAGTTCCCCCGGCCGTTGCACAAGAAGAGGAGGATGAGGAAGGCAGGGGAATTCCATCGGGGGGGAGGGCAAAGATTCGATCGAGCGAATCCGCGAGCCTTCGTTCGGGAGAGCAGGAAGAGAGAAAAGCACGGCTACGGAGAGAGAATACTCGCGCGCAGCTTCCTTCTCCTCCTCCCCTATGTCTACTGTGTGCGCACGGTATATTCCCTTCGTGGATTCTGCTCCTTTTTCTCCGTAGCGCGTCTTGTGTGTGGGGACGGGTCGCTTTTTGCAGGAGTATCTCTTCCCTGGATGTAACTCGACCGGGCACTACTATTGTCGTCACCCCCCGGTCGGATGTTCGATTGGTGAGTTTTACTCGAGTGCCAATAAAAATCGGCAACCGTAAACTCGGTGTTTCTCGTACGCACCCACCGAGATCGTTGAGAACAACAACAATCCACCTCTTTTGAGCTCTGTACTCTTCTTGTCCCGTGCACCCGAAAAAAAACAAAAAAAAAAATTACTCAGAGGCGGAGGAAAACAGATTCGCGCGGCAGCGCGGCCCCTCGCGACCGAGACGCGGCACTCGACTGGCGGTGGGTAGCGCTCGCGCGCTGCGCTATACACACGGACAACAACACTCTCCTTCCCTGTGCGCGCTCTCTTTCTCCTTCTTCTCTCCGGGTCCGCTGTGGATAGACGATCCTTTTGCTGCTCTTGCCACCAACACGGCACAGGCATGTATATATATATATGTACAAGCGAGAGCATCGTGATTCTCGTGTATATATGTATACGTTGAGAATAGGAGGCGTACGTGTATAGACGAAGAAGAAGGCTTGGGGCGGCCCGCGGCGAGTAAACGTCGTGACACGGGAGTATATGTATGTAAGGACGAGAAGGGCTCTGCGAGGGAGAATGAGAGGAGAAGAGATGCGTACACATCCACAGAAGAAGAAGAAGAAGAAGAAGCGAGATGAGGAGGAGGAGGAGTGGCGGCAGGCATGCAGTCCTTCCACTCTCGCTCGGGCCGCTGTGTACTATGCCTTTTCTCTCCTCCTCTCTCGCGGTATCGTCCTTTTTCTTTTTCTTTTCATTACCTCTTTCTTCCTCCTCCTCCTGTCCTTGCTCGCGTGTATACGTGTATCGGTGCAGTACACACACATACACACTCGCCATATCCTTTCTTCTTCTCCTTATGCTGCGGGCTAGGTTCTCTCCTCGCTCATCTCCTCTTTTCGCTGACTCTTCTTATCCACCCCTTTACTCCTCTCTCTCTCTCTCTCTCTCTCTCTCTCTCTTGGGTGTGCTATCATTTTCTTGCCTGCCTACCATAGCAGCGACGACCCATGGGTGTATCTTACTTGCTTACATACTGGTGCTGTGTGCAGAAATGTTTATGCGAGAGGGATATATATATATAGGCTTCGAGACGGAGTACAAGTGAAAGAGCCAAAAGGTATCGAGTTGAGGCATTTAAAGAGATGTATATGTATAGAGCTATATACGATACGCGAGAGAGGAATACTTACGTGCATGTGTGTATAGGCCTATCTCGTTTTGTGTGAAAAAGAGGGATGACAAGTGTCGTCGATTGTTAGGCGTGTTCGAGTGTGCGTGGAATATTATTGGTATGCGAGAAAGGACACACCCGCGTTTACCCACACCTATACCAATGCGGGAGCGTTCACTCATCAATTTTTAAAGTGCACTGCTGATAAGTACGCGCGTTTTTCTTTATGTCATGCGTGTTTTTTTTTTTTTTTTGTCGTTCAAAGTGTCGGTGACATCGTAAATCTCTAAATTTGCTTAGCGAACAAGATTTTTAACTATTACAAATTTGGGGGAAAAGAGTGGTATGTATACATATTTATCCTCGCCCAGCCACTACAATTTTTTTTTTTTTTTAACTTCAAATGTTGATACCCGTGTTTACCACTGATCTAATACGAGATTTAGAAGAAGATTTTTTCAGCCATCGTATAGCCGATAAAAACAATATACTTAAGCCGAGCAAACTTCAAGTCCTTGGGTCTGTTGTTGCACACGTCTGTTGTGGGGTGTACGCTATATATTTACTATCTACTTTGCATCGCAGCTCTGTGATTCGGCCGCACAAGTCTGACAGACGTGGATACTTTCCTACGGGTGAGTATACGGGGAGTTTCAACGCGAAAAAGTCTCGGACTGCAAAAAAAAGAGTAGGCTACACGCATAATATTATCCTCTCCTCCCACGCGTGCACCGCGCACTTGGAAGGTTATACGCGCAACCTTTCATCTCCCGCCTCCCTCAACCCTCGAAGCTGATGACGCTCTTTTCCTCATCGTCCTCTCGCACGCGCGTTCGCACGTATACATCCATACACGCGCGCACCAACCCACGGCCAGACGGCGCGCATTCCCTTAAAATGCCTCTCTCTCTCTCTCCGATCCTGGTTTATCGCCCGACCGCCCCCCCCCCCCCGCGACTTTCCATATCTCTCCCCGAGAGCCCTCTCGGCTCATCTCTCCCTCTCGCACACACCGCTTCCTCCTCTTCTCTCTCGCCGCTATTATACGACCTCTGCACGTTTACGAGTTTCTCGCCTTGGGTCTTCTCCCTCGCCTCGGTGTGGTGTACGTGTGGGTACACGTGAAGTTGTTTCTTTTTCATTTATATGCTCCCTTGGCTGAAACACCGGCGAGAGAGTACAATTTGGGTTTTATGACTTTTACTGCTTGCTATATATACTCCGAATAAAAAATAAAAATCTCGAGGAAATGATGGAAAACATTTTTCCTTTTTTCATGAGGATTATTAATCCAGATGTGATTTGCGTGAAATCCGCATCAGCCAATAATAGACAGTAGCGTTATCGGTATAATAATTTACACGAGCGCGGGGGATGATGATGATGAAACTGATTTATTTGTGCCAAGGTTTAAGAAACCGAATGGCAACAAAGAAAGTACATACAAGCTTTTACATGTTGATATACATAGATAATATACCGATGTACAATAAATATAAAAATAAATCAAATTATTCGAGATACTATAATGAGACGCAAGTTCAACAGTAATAATATATACTTCCATAGGAAATAATTAAGTACAAATCGTAAGAAATTCATCACAAAATGACGTAACAATATCAGCCGGCTACAAACAGATAGTCAAAAAACGCAACT